ACATGGATGTCCCTGGAGAATGTCATTTTAAGTGAAGTAAGCCAGACAGAGAAAGAAAAATACCGTACGAGATTGCTCATATGCGGAATCTAAAAAAATAAAATAAAATAAATACAAAACAGAAACAGACTCATAGACATAGAATACAAACGTGTGGTTGCCAGGGGGACAGGGGGTGGGAAGGGACAGACTGGAATTTCAAAATGAAGAATAGATAAACAAGATTGTACTGTGTAGCACAGAGAAACATATATAGGATCTTGTGGCTCACAGCGAAGGAGAATGTGACAATGACTGGATGTATGTTCATGTATAACTGAAAAATTGTGCTCTACACTGGAATTTGATACATTGTAAAACGACTATAACTCAATAAAAAAATTTGCCTAACCCTCAAAAAAAAATGTCAGTGGTTACCAGGGCTTAGCAGGAGGAAGGGAGGGATGAATAAATGGATCACAGGAGACTTTTAGGGCAGTATGATAAAGCAGCAGTGGATACATGACAGTATACACTTGTCAAAACTCAGAAAGTACAAACAAAGAATGAATCCTAATGCAAACTATAATTGTTAGCTAATAAAAAAAAGTGTCAATATTGGCTCATCAGTTACAACAAATGCACCACACTAATTAATGGCAAGATGTTAATAATAGGGGGGAAAATTGTAGGGGGATCACTGGGTATATGGGAACTCTGTACTTTCTGCTCACCTTTTCTGTAAACCTGAAATTTCTCTAAAAATTAGAGATTCTATTAAAAATAAAAATCCTGTTGATTTAAAGGGGAAAAAAAAGACACAGCCCCAAAAGGGAGTGACTTATGCTCAGCCAGGACACCAGACCAGGGCTCAGACCCAGCTTCACCTCCCCTCTGTCAGTCAGGAATGTCTGTCCAGCTCCAGGGAGGTTCCCTGCCGCAGGGGCCCTCTCCACCCCAAAAGGGAGAGGAGGTCGTATTCCACACAGACGTTCGAGTCCCCAAAGGGAGGTTACCTAAGCCTGAAATCATTTTTTTGTTGTTTGTATATGAATTTTTTGTCTTGCCTTTAAAAACCTTTCCCTTCCCGGAGCCCTTCGGAGCTGCCCTCCACCGGCTGGATGGGATGCCACCCAAGTCACGAACTGAGCAATGATGCCAATTAGACCTTCAAAGTTTCCTCCGTTGAATGTGTGTTTTTCAATACCAGGAAACAGGACATTGAAACAACACCAACAGTATTCAGGCAACTGACCATGGTGGCCTTTCCGTCACTGCTCACACTGTCCTGTTATAACTCCTAGTCTGCTGGGTTTGGGGTGAACAGCCCAAGGAACCAACTTCTACTCCACCAGAGGCCAGAAATGCAAACGCCAACAAAGGCGGCCAAAGGTTGTCTGAGTGTCCATCCTCTGAAGGGTCAGTAGTTTGAAGGCCCTGGTCCCAAGCTTTTCTCGGGGACTCTGGGGCTGTCCTCATCCCCTGTCGAAGGCTGTCTCCCACCCGTGGCTGACAGCGAGCCTCAGGTGAAATAAAGGACTCCCTATGGAGCTTGCGATTTCTAAAATGTCTATATTAACACCATTTTACCTGTGCAGACTTGACCTAGGGGAGCTGCTGACCAGACAACTCTTTACCATAAGGGCGCGTTCAGCAAACCTGATTCTTCCCACCACTGCCTTTTCCATAAGGTGAAGAAGGAAAAAAGCTCCAAAAATCTCACAGACATAGTAAACAATCTTACTAGGGGCAAGTGGGTGGGAGGGAATAAATTTGGGAGTTTGAGATTTGCAAATGTTAACTACTGTATATAAATAGATAAAAGACAAATTTCTTCTGTAGAGCACAGGGAAGTATATTCAGTATCTTGTAATGACCTTTAATAAAAAGAAATATGAAAATGAATATATGTATGTATATGTATGCCTGGGACAGTGTGCTGCACACCAGAAATCGACACATTGTAACCGACTGTACTTTAATAAAAAAAGAAAAAAGATATCCTGTGAGAAACTGGATCCCTTGTTTGTGGATGACAGGACTGTGAAATGATACAACCACTTTGGAAAATGGTCTGGCAGTTCCTAAAAATGTCAAATATAGAGTTACCAATGATGGAGCAGTTCCATGGCCGGGTGAAATGGAACTGTGCCCCGAGGACCCTGGATGTGCACACGCCTGGCAGTCCAGCAACAGAAACAACCCCAGTGCCCACCAGTCAGTAAACGGATCAATAAACACGGTCCATCCACACAATCAAATACGATTCAGCAACAAAAAGGAACAACGTACTCACACAGGCCACAACCGGCAGGGACCTTCAAACATTTGGCGAAGTGAAAGAAACTAGTCACCAAAGGCCACGTAGTGATTCCATTTCTCCAGAACGTTCAGAAGAGGCAAACCCAGAGACAGCAAGCAGACTCGTGGCTGCCAGGGGCTGGGCAGGGACACTGCGGATGGGGCTCCAGGACTGCGACAGCTAAAGGCAGCAGGGTTCCTCCGGGGGCGATGAGTTCTAAGATTAGCCAACCGCGATGGCTGCACAGCTCTGCTAGGGTGCTAAAAGCCAGGGAGCTGCACCTAGGAGTGGCACTGCTGAGTCACATGGAATCCCTACATTAGACATTTTGAGGAACCGCCAAATGGTTTTCCAACTAGTGATGCTGAGCATCGTTTTTTGTGCTTATTCACCATTTGTGTACCTTCTTAGGAGAAATGTCTTTGCAATATTTTGCTCACTTTTAGTTGGGTGATTTGCCTGTCTATTGTGAAGCTGTAAGAGCGCTTCATATAGTCTGCATACAAGCCCCTGATCAGATGGGTGATTTGCAAACTTTTCTCTCACTCTGTGGATTTTCCTTCCACTTTCCCGATAACGTCCGTTGAAGCACGAAAGACTTTAACTTTGACGAAGTCCAGTTTATCTCATTTTCTTTTTGTTGCTTATGCTCTTAGATTAAGATTTAATCCTATGTTTTCTTCAAAGAATTTCATAGTTTTAACTCTTAAATTTAGTCTATGATCTACTTTGAGTTAATTTTTGCATATGGTGTGATGTTGGGGTCCAACTTCAGTCTTTCGAGTTGTGGGCGTTCAGTTGTATAAAAGATTGTTCTTTCATATTGAGCTGTCTTCGCACCTTGTCAAAGATCAGTTAATGACAAATGCAAGAGTTTCACTCTGAACTCTCAATTCTGTTCTATGGATCTATGTGTCCATACCAGTACCACCTAGGCTCACTTAGTGTGGCTTTGTCCTAAGGTTTGCATTTGGGAAGTATGAGTGATTCCTCCAAGTTTATTGTTTTTTTCCTTTGTTCTGTGTTTTTAATATGTTATTGCACCTATATATATTACATGAAATATATGACTACATATATTTTACGTTATTATATATATATATATATATACATATAAATGCTTTTGAAAGAAAATGCTTTTCTTTTTTCTTCCAGTTTTACTGAGATATAATTGATGTGCACATTATAAAAGTTTAAGGTGTGCAGCATAATGATTTGATTTACATACCTCATGGAATTAGTATCCCAGTAAGTTTAACGAACATCCATCATCTCATATAGATACAAGACAAAAGGAAAAGATAAAACCTTTTCCTTGTGTTGAGAACTCTTAGGACTCACTTAACAACTGTCATCTATAACACACAACAGTGTTAATTATATCCATCATCCTGTGCATTACATCCCTCCTGCTTTATCTTGTAACTGGAGGTTTGTACCTTTTGACTGTCTTCATCCAATTCCCCCACCCCTCGCCTCCGGCAACCACAAATCTGATCTCTCCTGCTATGAGTTTGTTTGTTAACTTTAGCAAAAAAAAGTCAGCTAGAATTTCGATAGAGATTCCTTGAGTCTGTAGATCCATTTGCAGAGTATTGCTGTATTCACAATATTAAGTCTTCTGGTTCATGACTATTCACTTCCATATTTAATTTTTTTTAACAATGCTTTGTAGTTTTCAGCGTATAAGTCTTGAATTTCTTTTGTTAGATTCATTTCTAAGTATTTTATTCTTTTGATGCTTTTATAAATGAAAATTTTTTCTTCATTTCATTTTCAGACTCTCCGTTGCTACTGTATAGAGATACAACTGATTTCTATATGTTGACCTTGTATTCTGCAAATTGTTCGATTACTTTTTTTAGTTCTAATAGTTTTTTGTGGATTCCTTATGATTTTCTATACATAGGATCATGTCATCTGAGCATAGAGATACTTTTACTTTTTCTTTTCTGATCTGGATGTGTCTTATTTCTCCTTCTCGCCTAATTACCCTGGCCAGGTCCTGCAGTGCAATGTTGGGTAGAAACAGACAGCAGGCATCTTCATCTTGTTCCTCATTCAAGGAGGAAACCTGTCGGTCCTCCCCCACTGAGTGTGACAGTAGTTGTGGGTTTCTCAAGGAAGACCTTCATCAGATTGAGGACTTTTTCTTCTAACCTTAGTTTGAGGTTTCTTTGTAAAAAAAAAAACATGAAAGGGCATTAGATTTTGTTAAATGCTTTCACTGAGTCTGAGGACAGCACATGGTTTTGTCCTCTATTGTATCAGTATGGTGTACTACATTGATTGATTTTCGTATCGTAAACCAACTTTTCACTCCTGGGATAAAGCCCACTTGTTCAGATCCAGCTTCGTTCACCTTACTAGCGTTTTGTGGAGGGTTTTGTGTCTATGTTCATAAGCAATATTGCCCTGTGCTTTTCATTGCTTGTGATGTGTTTGTCCGGTTTTTGTAAGAGGGTAACATGAGCTCGTCGAAGGAACTGGGAAGTGTTCCCTCCTCTGCTGTCTTCTGGAAGACTGTGAAGCATTAACTGTTCGGCAGAATTCACCCATGAGTCATCTGGGCCTGGGCTTTTCTTTGCGGGAAGTTTGAAAATTACTGACTCAGTCTCTTCACTTATTCTTTTTTGCTAGTATGTTTCTGTGTTATAAATCCATCAATATGGTTTTATGATTATTGCTTTATGCAGTTATATTTTATATCAGATGGAAAGAGAGTTGCAAGAAAAACATGCATTACTACTGAATTTTGTACTTACCTATGCAGTTACCTCTACCAGGACTCTGTATTTCTTCATGTGGATTTGAATTACCGTCTAATGTTCTTTTATTTCAGTCTGAAGGATTACCTCTAACATTTCCCACCAGGAAGGCCTGCTAGTGACAACTTCTCTCAGTCTTTATTTTCTGGGACTGTCTTAATTTCTCTTCATATTTGATGGTTATAAAACACAGAATCCTGAATGTAGAATTCTTGATCAACATTTGTTTTCCCTCAGCACTTTGAACGTGTTATATTACACCTCTGGCCTCCCTGGTCTCTGACGAAGGTGAGCTGTTAGTCTTACTGAGGACCACGCGCACACGATGGGCCCCTTCTTTCACTGTTCCTAAGATTCTCTGTCTCTGGCTTTTCGCAGCCTGATTATTATGTCTCTAGGTGTGGATATCTTGTTTATCCCACTTGGAGTGAATTAAGTTTCTTAGATGTGTGTATTAACATGTTCATCAAATTTGGGAAGATTTCAGACATTATTTCTGTAAATATTCTTTTGGCTACTTCCTCTCTTCTCCTCTGGGACTCCCATTACAGGTATGTTTGGTGAGCTTGATGGTGTTCCACAGGTCTCTGAGGTTCTGTTCATTTTTCTTCTTTTTTCTTTCTCTTTCTCAGACTGGATAATCTCAACTGAACTATCTTCAATTTGTTGATTCTTTCTCCTGCCAGTTCAAATCTGTTATCAACCTCTTTAAGGACAACAGTGAAATGGACAAAAAAACCCAACCAAACAAACAGACAAAACTAAGGTAACTACCCAGGTTGTCCACTGTTTCCCATCCGATAGATACTAGATGTCTATAAACCATTGGTCCATTACAGAGCTCACCAAATGGTCAGACTTTGAAACCAATGCCCAACATTGCTCCACTGCTGTCAGTGACAGGGGTAACTTCTGGCCACAAAGAAACCAAAACAAACAGAAATACACAAAGTCATTTGAGAAGAAAATTAGAATTATAAAAATGACAATTAGAAAATCACAGTATCATTGGCACTCAGACTGCCCCCTAGGAGCCCAGAAAAGACGTGCCTGGGCTTAGCATAGCTATGAGGTGCCTACTCAGGAAACCTAGTTCACCCATCTCCATCAGGTGAGGCACTGGGCATCTTGGTGGAAGACCTCCAGAACTATTACACGGTAACTTTCAGAAAAAGGGAGAATCGTAATTCTTATACAGATGCATATTGAACACATGTTGAAGATTTTACTCGAGTCATTAAGTAATGAGAGATTCAGGAAATGTTGTAACTGCCTTGAAGGAGAAGTCAAAGAAACACAAATCTATGCAGAATAAAGGAATGTTGAAGTTAACTTACAAATGGATGCAAAGCCAGCTTTTTCCGTGACTGGAGGAGGGAAATCTATTGACCATTAATTTATTTCCAAATCTATGGAAAGTAATTATTTACATTGCTATTAGTTGTCTACAAAGTTGTAAAATATCTCAAAGACAAAGACATGCACTGATCTCATGAACTGGAGACCTGGGAGAGGCGTGCCCTAAACAGGGCACAGCTTTCCCCAGATACCAGGAATCTGCTCTGCTTATTCAAAGTCTTAAATTTTTTTTTTACATCCCAGGTCCCATCTCCCATGTGCCCTTGGTTTCCAATTCCTAGGATTCCCAGACCCCCTAAGAATCTTATACCACTCAGTTCCTGACCATCTCCCCAGACCCCAAGCCCCATGTCTAGTTATCCTGGTACCTAGCCCCAACCTCCCACGTCCTCAGGCCCCAATTCCTTCAGTTCCCCGATTTCCTGGCCCTCAACAGCCCCACTCAAGCCCCTCCAGTTTGCTTTAGCATCAGCTCTGATGGCCACTCCAGAGGACTGGGACCAGACCGCCTTCCACATTGCCCAGTATCCCTGGGGTTCCAGCACATTCAGGAAGGTTGAGGGGTGGTCAGCCATAGCTGAGTTTGGCTGACTAGAGCTTGGGGGTGGGGGAAAGGGAATGGTGGCTCTTCATTCAGCAAAGTGAAGAAATGTGACCTGCTTGAAAGAACTACTGGCACTGGAGGGTCCACACTCAGGCCTGGGGACACTCAAGAAAGGTGAAGCCCACTCTTGCTCTGTGCTGAGACCTCAGTGAGAGGGGGTGGCTGGCTGCAGGCTCCCAGCACCACTGCTGGCTTCATCTCCCTTGGCCTGAGCTCCCTGACCCCCTGGAGGACCCCCGCCTCTTCCCTCCCCTCGGGTCTCCTTTCCTGTCCTCTCTATACTGGGGGAGGATCCCAGACCCGGGCTCTACTGTGGCTCTGCCAGCTTCCCCTCTCTGGATGCCCAAGCTCACGTGCTGAATGGGATCCCAGTGAGGGGGGCGGTCCGGGTGCAGGCGGCCTGCTTACCCATGACTGGCCTCAGAGAGTGAGTGCTCCAGTCTTTGGGCCACAACACCCACCAACTCAGCCCTCTCAGGAGGCACTGTCCACAAAATGATTTTTAAAGAGAGTATCAAGGGCTGGCTCAGGGGTGGAAGAGGGTTCAGGTAGGAACCTCGCAACCTGCTCTTCAGTTAGCTAGGCTTTCCCACCACCCTTGAAAAGGACAGGAATATCCAGGTTGTTCTGTGGCTTGTCTTTCATTTAGCTCACACGGCTCTGCAGACGTATAAAACACTCCTCCTGGGGCCCTCGCCTGGGTGGTCCAGCTGAGGAAGCCTTCTTCCCTGCCTAGCCTGGCTTAAGGTGTTCTGAGAGGGTCAGAAAACCGGGAAACTCTCCTTTGCAGGTTGGGAGTGGGGTCAGGGAAGCACCCTGCTTAGGAGCTGGAGGTAGGGGGCTGTGAGACGGAGGGGCCACAGGTCCAAGAGAATGTGTGTCTCTCCGCCAGGCACAAAAACAGTAACCAGGGCTGTGTGTGCAAAGGTCTGAGCTGTCCCAAATGCTCCACGGGAGTTGAAAGAGGATTTCACAACTCCCTCAGTTGTGACAGACAAATCAACTCAAATAGGCAACAAATTGTGGGCCTACATATCTTGGAAGTCCAAGAGGTTTAGCTTCAGGTGCAGCTGGATCGGGTGAGCCCAGGATGTTGTCAGGGTCCTGCCTCTCTCCACCTCTCCCTCTGCTTGCCTCTGGAGTGGCTTCCTTTTCTGGTGTGCATCCCGAATAGTTTGGGTAGTTTTCATAGCTCTTGGGATGACTGACACCCCCAAGACAAATCTCATATTGGATCCTGATTTGCTCCACTGGGGTACCGTCCCCTAGTTCAACCACTGTGGGCAGGAGGATGCACACCATGGCTGGATCAGCTGCGTCACCCACTCAGCCACAGGGTGGGGGCAGGGGGTCCTGTGATTAACAGCCCACTAGAACCTTAGTGACCTCTGAGCCTCCAGGGAAGTGCAGCGGAGAGCATGAGGCCAGAGCTTGGAGTGGAGGAAGCTTGTGTGGCCCCACGGAGGCGGGCAGCACCCCGAGACTGGGGGGGCATGGCCAGGGCAACTGATTCTGGAACTACTGATGACCTGGGCCCATACCCTTTCCAGGGGCCCAGCCACTCCCATTTTCTGGCCCCACAGAAGCTAAGAGGTTCCTTTGAATTCCATGGGCGGAGGAGGGAGCCCCTGAAAGGACTGTCATCCCATGTCCCCAAGTCAGGCAGAGGGGCTCTGAGCAGATGCAAATGTGGGACGTGATCCTTCTTCCACTCAGGTGTTGTCATACTGGCGATCACATTGGAACCCACAGCTGCCTGGAGATTCCAGTGGGCTGAGAAACCCAGGACTGAAGGAAGGTGGAGGCACTTCCTTCAGTTACTCAACCAAAGCCAGGTGAGCCATGTCCCGGCGCTCACTGGCTCAGCCTCAGGTGAAGTGGCCACACTTGAGAAAGGAGACTGCGCATGGCTGGGGGCAGGGGTGGCACACCTGGCTAGCCCTTCTCTAGTCTTGAGCTCCTGAGGCATCTGTTCCAGGTGGTGGGACAAAGAGCGGGCCCTGTGGCTCAGGCTCTGTCCTCACTCAGGGGACTGCCCTCTGGGGGCAGCATGGCGCCTGAGGCCCTGCCTCAGCCACTGCTTCCCTCTGGGGTCACCTTCAAATCCCTCACAACCCTGGGTCTGAGGCCCTCTGGGCAGGGCTAAGAGCCCAAGTGCCTGGCCCTTGCTTTCCAGCTGGTGCCCTGCTGCGGCCTTGGGAGGCTGCTTGGCTCTGAGGGGCATGGTGGCTGCCCTGCCTCCCGGCCACCGCCCGAGCCCTGGGAAGCCATGACCAGGAAGGGTGTGCCAGGCAGCCTTGAGGACTTGGCTCTACTGCCTCTTCCTCCCCTTGTTATTTTGGCCCCAGCCTTGTTTCCTTCAGGGCATTGACCGGAACACCCTGGAGACTTCAAAGGGCAGTGGCTTCCTCAAATCACCCACCTCCAGTCCTGGCCACCTACCCCCACCTCGGGAGCTGGCGCTGTCCTGCGGGGCTGTGCTCTTATGTGGCCCTCGGCTCTGGCATAGACACCTGGGCAGAGCAGGGCCTCCACACATGCCTTTGATCACCACCCAGTGTGAGGGAGGCGGCTCCACCAGCCTCCAGCCCCCAGGTGCGCAGAGGAGAGGTGCTGATGGGGCACCAGGAGTGTAGGGGGGAGGGGAGGGCACGCAGCCCATGGCCACACCACTCATGTCACCCCCTCGGAATCTCTGCTTGCCACCACCAAAGGCAGGCTGCCACAGCTTACACCCCACCTCCCGAATGCAGGCAGCCAAGTCAAGCTGCCCTCGTCCAGGTCAGGCAGCCAGGTGGTCAGCACTCTGGGAGGCTAGGCGCTGGTGGGTGGCCTCCTTCCTTCATGGCTGGGCTGTCTTGAGCCACCTGGGATCCTGGCTCCACCCAACGTTTGATGGGACCCCACACTAGAGGCTCCACTGAGAACTCCCTCCTGCTCAGCTGACCCTGCCAATGCCAGAGAGGAAAACCTCCAAAAGCCTATGTGCAGGCGAAGTCAAGGACAGATGGCTTCTAAAGCTGACAAAGAGCACTGGAGGGAGACCAGAACAATCGAGAGAGGAGCTGGGGCGGCAAGGGCAGAAGGCACTGCTCCCGCTCCCGCACCCCGCGGCTGCAGGGACCCTCCTGTGGAAGTGGGGCCCCTTGTCTGTGAAAAAGGGGTCTCAATACCAGGCAAGTCACACTGGATCTCAGCTCAGGCGTCCTGCCTGCCCTAGGGAGCCTGTGGCTCCTGTCAGCCTCGGCTCCCAGCCTGCCCAGAGGCAGAGAAGTGGGAAAAGCCTGGGCCCCGGCCCCACAGCAGCCTCCCCACAAACACCCTCCCCAGATCCTCCCAGGCCCTCATTCCAGTTCCCTACAGCCCTGTGTGTGAGAGAACCCCCAGGCCAGGAAGGCCTGGTTGGTCCTGAGGCCCTACTCTTTGCAGACACCAACAAGCAAAGGTCTGGACTGCCGGCCCAGGGTCAAGGCAGAGTGCAAGCTGCTGAGCCAGGGGCCAAGTGCCAGCAGCCCAGGAGCAGGAAGCAGCGGTCACGTCTGCCTGAATGAGGAATCTGGAGCCTTTTGTGTTTGATCACAGAAGCCAGAGTGAGGCTATGGTTCAGGTGAGGGGGGCAACTTTCTTGAGCAGAAGGATCCCAAGACTTGCTAGAATCTCACACCCCAGTGTCTTCCAAGCCTTTCCTGTACCTGGACCTTGAACAAGCCGCTGGTGTAAATCCTCCACTAAAGTGGCAGTGAGTGCTGCCACGCCCGGGCCACAAATGAGGAGGCTGGCAAGCAGCCCATTCTTCCTGACCCTTGTGCCTGGTTGGCTCAACCCACCACACAGCCTCAGGATGCCCTGCTGGGAAGAAGAGCCTGGATGGGCTGATGCTGGCGGACACCACGCAGCCTCTGAGTGTTCTAGCCGCTGTGGTCCTTGGCCTAGACTCCAGGTCCTGGGAGCTGGCCTTCACCCTCCTTCTGGGAAGTTCTGTGTGCGTTTGTGTGTCGGGGGGGGGGTTCTGTAAAGCAATGATGGGGAACAGGAGTCCTGGGCTCAGAGGGCATGACCCCAGGATCTGTGAGAGTTGCCTGGGGGCGGCAGGCCCCTGCTGAACATGTCAAGCTACTGCTCCTGCTCAGGGACAGCTACCTGCACAGGGAGATTATTCTTGGGATTAATTCCAACTCATAGAATAAAAACACTTTATTGTACAAATCTCACACAGTCCCCAGGCCCGGGACCAAGTCCACACCCCGAGTCAGGCCTTGGCCCTGAGCCTGCTCTGTGGTCCCCACCCTGGGCTGCAGTGCCAGGTTCTCCTGTGGGGGTGCAGGTATCTATGAACATGCCATGTGTGGGATGCGCGTCCCTGGGCTGGGGGCACTCAGGCACTGTGGCAGCCCCAACCTGAAGACAGGTGGGGTGGAATGAGGTCCCCACCTGGCCAGGCTTAGGAGCTACACAGGTCCACACAGTCCTTCCCGCTTTGGAACACATGGTAGATGCTGGTGGGGGGAAACATGGCAACGGCGCCAAGCAGGGAGCCCACCTGGATGGCCACGCCAGCTGCCAGCAAGGCCGGCTGACCCCCACCATGTAGCAGCGAGCTGGCAGCCACCTTCACGTATGAGAACACGCCCAGACACAGAACCCACGACACCACCTGGGAGGGTGGACACGGCAGCAGGCTAAGTATAAGACACTCCTGCTCTAGGGCCAACCCCTCCCGACTGCCACCCTCTTTGCTCTGTGTCCCCCGTGTACTTACCACAAGAACCACTCCTGCAGCGGTGCCCACCAGGGGCGGGCAGGGGCTCAGGACTGCTAGTGTCATCAGATAGGCCCCGAAGAGCATGCCCAGCAGAGAGAGACTCCCCAGCCCTGCCAGGGATCTGCCAGGGGTGAGCAAGAACTCAGGGCGGGCTGTGCAGGGACCAGGCCTTCATCCTTAAATCCCACCCCAAGTGGCTTGGGGCCCCTGCATACCTGCACAGAACACCCATGGCCAGGAAGCAGGCGAGGGGATTGGCGGCACTGCCCAGCACCACGGCCAGGTGGTAGGCCAGGCGCCCATAGGGCAAGCAGGAATAGCTCTGCACAGCAGGCAACACGCCATTGGTCAGAGCATTGGTGATGGCCAGCAGGCCCAGCAGACAGGCTCCACGGGCGGAGAGCAGCCTATGGGCCGCAAGGTCGGGGCTGGGGGTGCTGCTTGCCACCTGGCTGGGTGACTCCTGCAGCGGCGAGGCCTCTTCCTCTTCCTCCTCCTCTGCTCCAGGGGTTCCCACCCTCAGGCCAGGCCCTGGACCCCCTGCAGGTACAGACGGTGGTGATGGCAACAGCAGCAGGAGACCCTGGAAGGCGGCAGCTGAAATGACCAACAGGGCGGTCAAGGTTCCAAAGAAGGTGCTGGCGGGAAAACGCTCTGGGAAGTCATGGGGGGGCCCAGGAGTGCCATTGGTGGGGGCTGGTGGGCACTCGAGACGGCCCACACCCTGCACTAAGGCCAGCACACAGGGAAGCAGGGCACTGAGGCCCTGGCCCAGAAGAAAGACCGCAAGAAGGTGGGGGGCAAGTGGCTGAGGAAGGGCAGGAAAGTGACATTAGAGGCACAGCAGGCCAGTGCCAGCACAAAGGCCAGAGCTAGGAAGGCCACAGAGTGGACCTGCCCTGCCACCGTGGTCACGTGCCACCACAACGGGGCCAGCAGGGCTGTGCCCACCACACTCAGCGCCTGCACCACCTGGATGGGGGCCCGCTCGCCCTTGCCCGGGGCCAGCCGCCTCCACAGGGTCACCACCAACAGACCCAGGTTCCCTAGGGCCACAAGCACAGAGAGGTATGAGGGGAGACTCCAACCTGCAAGGGAAGAAATGAGGAGACATGTCAAGGACAGGATGCCACGGGTCAAAGGGCAGCCATAGCCCCCCTTCCTGGCACACTCCTACCCACCCTCAGGAAGGTCTTTCACCACCACAGGCAGCTCCACCCAGATCCCGTTGATGGCAGCCCATGAGCCCATGCCAAAGAGGGCTACCAGCAGGTGGGTCAGCACCAGATGGCCCAGCGGGGGTGCTGCCATCCAGCCCAAGGTTAGGGCCTCCAGGACAGGGCAAAGATCACAGCCAGCTCTTCTTTTCCCCACGTTAGGTCCAGTAGCTCCTCAGGAAACTGAAGACCTCGTCTAGCTTGAAGGAAACAGACACTCAAGAAGGACAAGGAAGAGACGCACAGCCAGAGTCAGAAGAGAGCCAGACTGCCAAGACCAGGGAAACTGCAGGGTATGTCCAGGGTAGGAGATGGGGAGGAGGAGGGGCCCAGCGCACCAAAGAGCACCGGCCGCCGGGATCAGGACAAGGCGAGGCCAGCAGGCAGGGAAGCAGGAAGGCGCCACAGCCCCAGGGGAGGATGATGAAAGAGCGAGCTGCTCTTCGTATCTGAGTTGCCGAGACCACTACCACACTCACCCCCCGGACGCAGAACAAGGACTCCGGGACATAGATACCTCTCCGGGGCCACGCACACCTCTGCAGCTTCTGCGAGACCGCGGACTGCGGAGCCAAGTCGGGGCTGGGGGTGTGGCCGCGGCGGGC